AGGGAAATATGTAAGAACCAAGAGTTATTTTCCAAAGCATGAATTTTTAATTCCTCAGGTTTATCTTGTCAAAAATCAGCAATATTTAATAGAGAACTCAGTACAAACCCATTAATGACAATCACAAGCATTGTTCTCTCTTTAATGAAAGATTATGGCACTTAGTTTTCCATTCCACATCTGTCTTCTCTTGCAGTCTTTGGTATTGAAAACAGGTTGAACTACATAGATTATATACTAGCAGCCAGTTTACACTTAGAGGTTTAGATTTTGTAAACACCAAGCCCTCATTTTAGCAGCTTGCCCATTTGAGAGGACTGCAAAGTGGAAGTGAAGTACTTTTAGGATCTCTTCAACGTAGCCATGGGAACAGAAAGAAGTTTCAGCATACATGACAACTGAATGCACAATATTGTAATGAAAATAGTACAATTAGCTCTGGGCAGCAAGGGACAGTCCTGGATCTGATCCCAGCTGTGCAGGGGTGAGCAGAGATCTTCTCCAGAGGCAGTGCAGTGGCACGGGCTGGCACAAGCCTCCCTGCAGAAATGGAGACCCACCCAGTCATCTGCCAGGTTTGCCCTCATCTTCCTCCATATCTGCGGCCAGAGACACAGGCTGAGAAAATACCCTGTTAACGTCTATTCCAACTGAAGAGGCTTGAGCAGCTCAGTCAGCTCTTTGTGGACCTCTCCATGGGGCACAGGTCTTAATGATCTGCATGCTCTGAATCCCATGTCTTCCACCTTTATTCTCCAAGTACTCCTCCCCACTGCCACCTAACCTGCTCCAAGCATGCTTCCATTTTGGGAACCCCCACTGCCCATGTTAACTGGAGCATAAATAACTTCGGAGCGTATTTTCAGAGGTAATGTCCTCTTAAGTGTGTTAGTTAAATGGATGCCAATTATTAATAAAACTTTACTTGTAATTTTAAGGACATACCCACCAACGTGGGAAGGAGTTACAAGTTTTGGTAGCCTCAGTTGCATTTGTGGATAGCTAAAACTTTACTCAGCATAAATGTGACAAACTTTGGTAAATTGTTTGACATAGTACCTAAAAAAATATTTTGTTTTTAAAACATAGTCCCATTATCTTACCAACAGCACACACAATTGAGCAACATATAAGTAAAAAAGAGCCAATGAAGAATTTTTACCAAATAAAAGTATTTCTAGAGATGCTATGTCTAGGTCTCACAATGATTCATTCACCAATTTTAAGCAACACTGAAACAAAATACCAAGAAAAATGGTAAATATGTAAATCCCAACCAGGCTTGGATATTTCTCTGGAAACTATGTTCCAGACAGGTACTGGTATGGTGCTTAGTACAAAAATGGACAGCCTGAGTTATATGAGAAGCCAGAGCTAACTCATTTACTAGTTCCCTGGCTTTTAAAAAGATGACTAGGAGTGGCTTCTTGACAGTCCTGTTTAAAAATGAAAATTCTGCTAACAGTAAGGTTCAACATTACCTGACTGACAAACATGAGAAGAAAGTCGGCCATTAGCTTGCTTATCTTTGGACAGCATCACGGGTCTCAGCTGATGTGACAATATCATTTCATTCAATTTTTGCTGCAATGCTAAGTAGTCTTCGGATAATTTTGATATCTGAAAAATATAACACAGGATTTTACATTATTATATAAATAAGTATGTATGTTCCAACGTAATCAAAGATAAAATAGTGGACTAGAGAATGAATTTAAAAGGTATTGCTCCGCCTACTGCAGTGTAGTCCCCTACCATGCTTACCTCCCCACCCCCCTTAAAAAAAAAAAAGAAAAAAAGAAGAAAAAAAAAGACAAGTAGGAAACTCCACACTGCAGCCCAGTCCTGCAGCTACTTCATATTGGTTCACACATGTGAGCAAACGGTGCCTTGCTGATGCAAAATAGGTAGGCAGCTGTAGGCATACTTCTCTGCACATGTGTGAGTGCCTGACATTGACACAGCAACTTGTAGTTTAGTTTACAGAGACATTTCACAAGTTTACGGAATTAATGGCCTCGCCTGGTAAATGCACATTTCAACAAAGGCAAAGCTTCTGCATTTAACCTAAACCAGCTTAAAACTAACATAATTTTTTGCCAGTGCTCTAACTTTGTCTTTCTCTCCTTCCTGAAAAGGGTATTCTCTCTTGCAGCCCAAATATGCATTTTTGTAGAACACTCATTACAAAATCTCTGTCTCAGTTTAGAGAGTAAAACCTTGGTGCCACTGAAGCCAGTAAAATAACTTTGCCATTCTGTCATTGCTCAGAGGATACTGAGATTACTCAGAGTATTATGCTCAACATGTGTAGCTTATAAGCTTCTTACCTGCCGTGAAAAGGCTGCCAAATCACAAGCTTCTTTCTCTGAGTCGCCCTTCAGTGTCTTAGAGTCTTCAGCCTCTGTACTGCTGCTTTTCCTATCTTTTGTTGTTTGGGGATCATTATTTTGAACATGTACTGCTTCTGTTGGCTCCTTTATAGTTTTCTCTTGACTTTTGCAAGGTAGTTTCCCTTCTTTTCTAAGTTGTCCCCTCCTTCTGTAACCCCGGTAACTGCTCTGAATAACCACTGCTGCCTTCTCTTTGTCTTCTGAACCTTGTTTTTCTGCTTCAACTTGCTTCCGTGAGCCTCTTAGTGACTCTTTTCTCATAATTCCTTTACATCCTGTAGGCATCACTGCTTCATGTTTCAGATGGCTTCTTTCCACAGCCCTGTCAGTCCTGGGCTGGACCACAGCAGATTCTTGATTTTGCCCATCTGCACTGAGCGTGTCTTGATTATCTTGCTCTTGCTGGGGACCAGGTTCAGCTGTGATTTTGACGGAAGATTTGCTGGACAGCTCTTCCAAAAAGGCCTGTTCTTCACCTTCACCAACATGTTCTACTGCAGGGTTCTGCTTCACAGAAGCTCCCTCTCCTTCAGTAGATGTTTTCTGTTGCTCCTGTACATTCCTTTTGTCACTGTGCCCAGAGCACTTGCTGTCAGTAACATCATCTTGAATCTCCTCGTTTGCTGCTTCTTCCAGTGTATCATTTTGAGCTGGCTGCAGTTGTGCTTCAAGGTATTCCACAGCAGATAATTCTTCCTCTGCTATTTTTTTGTGCTGTTCCTTTATTTTTTTACGGACTCTGTAGCCTCTGTAATGGCTCTGAACAATGATAGCTGCCTCTTCTTCCATTTTAGGAAGAGTACTCTTCACTCCAGTTGGACTTTCCTCATTATCTTGAAGTTCTTCATCCTTTTCCGTTTCGCTAATGGATGCTGCATTTTCAGTTTGTTTCTTTCTAAATGATTCCCTGAACGGAATAGAGTTTTGGGCAAAAATTATAGCTGAAGGAGATGAAGTATAGTGACAACTTTACAACTACCTTTGGTGGTGTTTGTGTACTAAATGGCAATTTGATACATTGCAACATGGGAAAGATTTAGTGCATAGAGCTTGAATTAAAGATAGCAAACCAATCTCTGATGATTATTATTTCTTAAAGTGAAAAGGGACATCCCTGTTAAACTTCACGGAAAATTGCTCGGGGGACAATCTAGGCTGCATTAGGGCTGATAAAAGAGCAAAGAATTAATTTAAATGTTCACAAAAACATAAGGCAGAAACTTTATAGCACCTGAAATATGTATAAATACACACAATCATAAATGTATTCATGAAAGAAAACTGCCTCAAGTCACACTAGGAATGCAAAAAGAATGATCCTGGGCTTAGGTCCAGGTCAAATTTAACAGACCTATTCCCTAAACTGTCTTTGTTACTATCAATAAAACTTCAGTGCCAGGTGAAATCTGCCACCCTGTTCCTTCCCTCTGAAAGACTCTGGACTCCTTCACAGCTGTTTTCCACCTCTCTGGACTAGTCTCCACCTACTTAAATGCTATCACTGAAAAAACAATAGTGATGAGCAAAGTGCTACTAGTTCCATTTCAGAGGTTAGAACTACAACCATATTGCAGAGATATTTAGAATGTGATTCACCTCACCTAACTTTTAGCTGTTTGATCTGAGCAAGACATTTGGGTTCCCGCTGTCATCACCTATGCTTATCTCAAACAGTGACTTAAGATGAGAACAGTTCCTTGCAGATGCCTATTTCTTGCTCTTGTCTGAGCATTTTTTATGATGAGCTAGTTCCAAAAAGAGACTCCTCTACAGATTACATTAACAT